ACTGGTAGTGTATTACAACCAACCGTCTCTCTCCAAACAACCAACTCTCTCTCTCTCTCTCTCTCTACCGGCCATCGGGAAATCTCAACCGCTGGCCAAAGCCTCCATTCTATTCCCTCGCTTTTGTGATAATATCACCAAAATCAAAATGGCTATTACAGGAAGAGATATAGATCGAATCAAAGGTCCATGGAGCCCCGAGGAAGACGACAAGCTCCAGCGCCTCGTCGAGAAACACGGCCCCCGGAGCTGGTCGCTAATCAGCAAGTCGATCCCCGTTTGTTCGGGGAAATCCTGCCAGGCAGTGTCGTCTGCTGCTGCCAAAGTTGGCACCAAACCCATGAAAATGGCTTTTTATTATGGTTTCCCAAAACTAGGGTTTTCCTTTCTGTACCATTTATATTCTCTTCCCCACATAACAAGCCAACAATAACGATAATTGGTTGCTGCTATGGCCTACTAGATGGTCAAATGTTGCTGATATAAGCTAACATTAGGCCTGTTAACAGCAACAAACCCTCTCTTGTTTGACTTCTCTTATTGCTGTTGTTGGGAGAAAGTGGGGAATGAAGGAAAAGGTGCTAAGGAGTTATCCCCAAACCTCTTTGTCCAAACTCACTGATTCACATACTCCCATCGATCGTAAATGTTTTTTTTTTCCTCGCACAATTTCATAAATTCCAATTTATTATTTACATTTCAGCCCCCTAGTTGGTTTTTGGTTAAACCACTAACTGAATTGATAACATGTATTTCAATTATAAGAGTTATCGGTTCAATTATTGATAAACAGTTTTTTGCTTAATGACTAATAAAAAAATCGCACCCATTAGCTCCACTACTTACTTGATACTACAACCTTTGAAATTCATCTAACTACGATCATTACCAAAAACCTCCCAATGCATGCCACAAATTCCCTAAAACAAAAAAGAAACACCACAAACCAAACCACAAATATTTTGAAAGCACACCAGAAAACTCATAACGCAAACCATAAACACCGTAAAGCAAACCACAAAAACAAACCAGAAACGTCCTAATGCAGACCAAAAATATATTAAAACAAACCAGAAACCTCACAAAGCAAACCACAGAATTTTCAAAAACACACCAGAAACCTCATAATGCAAACAACAAACACGTTAAAGCAAACCACAAAAACAAACTAGAAACCTCCTAATGCATACCACAAATCTCCTAAAACAAACCACAAACCCCTCAATGCAAACCACAAAATTTTTGAAAGCAAACCATAAACTTCTCAATGCAAACCACAAACACGATAAAGCAAACTAGAAACTTCTCAATGCAAACCACAAACACGATAAAGCAAACCACAAAAGGCATACAAAAATATGAGAAACCAAACCATAAATCTCACAATGCAGACCATATCATCAGTTGGTCGTTGACCAAACTGCGATGACCGTCGGTGAGCATATTCCGGCGCCGATAGACATATTCCGGCGCCGATGACTAGATTCCGACGCCGGTAAGCATATTCCGATCACGGTGAGCATATTCCGGCGACGGTGGCATATTCCGATGACAAAATAGCATATTCCGGCGACAAAAAAGCATATTCCAGTGACCGGCGACCGGTGATCGAATTCCGGCGACAAAATTTTGGGCCGAAAAATAAAAAAAATATTTTTTATTTTTATTTTTTTGTTATTATTTAAACATATTTTTCATAATGACAATTATACCCCTGCTTTAATTTTACACTAGGTCAACTCATCTAATAAAAAGTCATCACAAACCTAGCTTCCTATTGGTTGGAGACTAGTGTTGTTACAATAACAACACAAGAGGTGTTGTTATACTATCTAGTCCCAAGGGCATGCCCCTTGAGGTGACCTACTTTTATAGGAGAGAGAGGACCTAACGGACCACAATAATTCGGCCAAGAATTATCTTAACAAACGCGTTTAATTAACGGGGTGATTATCTTCCCAATTAACGCGATTTATCCCCAAGTCAGAGGGTATATTCGTGGGGGTCTGCCTACTATAAATAACTGTCTCCCAATCCCCTCTAGATACACCACAAACGAGCAGAAACACAAGGAGCTCCAGTTTTTCGCACAAAACCGACGAATTAAAAGAAAAAGTTGTTTCATCCTAAAGGCATGACTCACACGAAACTACACCACAAATTAATCTCGAGTAGAGCCCAAGTTTTTAAACTCTAGCCGGGTGCAGTATAGAGCAAGTATTTAAATTGTCAACCCGGGTCGATCCATGTAGTCCTACTTCAACCGCTTAGGTTGTTATCTAGCAAGCAACTTTTGGGTTTAGAACTAATTGAACTACAAATTAAACAAGCAAAAAAAAGTAAATAAAGGAAAATTCTAACTAAGAGAGTTTCACCCAGGAGTTGCTTTCCCCTAATTAGCTACCATGACTCGTTGGATTGAATGGAGTCGTGTGGCGTAGGTTGTTGTGAACCGCGGGGATGAGCAACTAGTGGTCGATTTGTCACGTAATCAATTCACTAGCGATCGATTTGTCACGGGATCGATCCACTCACCAAGTCTAGGGGAACCACTAGGAGGAGCAATTAGTGATCAATCTGTCAGGGGATGGATTCACTAAAGATAAATTTGTCACGGGATCGATCCTCTCATTCGGTCTCTAGTGGTTGCCTAGGTCTCTCCCTTAAACAGGAGTTTGAGCAGCTTAATCACAACCAACCTAGATGCAAACTTAAGTCAAGGAGGATGCTCATCTCTAACCTAGATAGTAGGCACAAAGTGTCCAGGAAAACCAAGCTTGTCAAGCCTACCTAAAAAGGTGTGGTTTTCCTCTAATCTAGGTTAGGCAAGCACACAAGATTTGGAAAGCACAACTAAGCACAATCACCATGAAAACACCTCTAACACTCAAATTGATGGAAACCCATACAAAATCATTCAATCTAAACCAGTAATTACAAAGTATTAGTTAGGGATCTACAACACCCAAGAGAAAAGAGTGAGTTTCGAGAGAGAGAGAGAAAGGAGATTACAAATTTGAGTTCAAGATCTTCTTCTTCTTCCAGGCTTGAATCCTTGTCTACCCAAGCCTCCAATGATGCTCCAAGATCACTCTAGCACAAATTCTCTCTCTCTCTCTCTCTCTCTCTCACTAGAACTCCCCTTTTGGTGCTTTGGGCAAACCATAGAGAGGAAATTGAATTTCTCTCCCAAAGCTAGCTCTCCCTTTCTCTCTCCCTGCTGTGGTCTTCATATTTGTCCGAAAGTGACGAGTTCACGGACGCGCTAGCCAATTCACGGCCGTGAACACCTAAACGCGTCCATGAACTCTGTCGTCCTCAAAATGCACCGCTTTGCTTCCTGGGTTCACGGTCAATGGCCACAGTTCACGGTCTTAACTGCCTTGTCGTCAGTAACTTCAGGAACCTCGCTGGACGCCTCTGTGTTCACGGTTTGTGGTCGAAGTTCACGATCTTAGGAGACCGTGAATTGCCTCGTCTGGCCGTGAACTGCGGCTCTTTCCTGGACGCCTGCACTTCACTGTTACTGGGCAATTGTCACGGTCGACTTCAGACTTTTCTTCGGTTTTTGCGCTTTTTGACCTCCAATTATCCCAAAATTTGACCTCGACCCTTTATTTAAAGTTTGTATTGAAAGATCGTATGTACGTACCGGCGATTAGACCATGAAACTTCACATCATAGACTCCCTTATTGATGATTTCACTATATTAAAAGATCGACGTGTACAATTGATATTATAAAAAAATTATAATTTTTTGCAGTATCTAGTTTTCTAATGAAATGCGGCCCAAGGCTCTACTATGTCCTGGATCTGCCACTGCATGCAACCCAAAAGACGTACACTTTGCAATTTCTATCTTTTTAAAATAAATATATGCTACTCATACCCTCGCTCATTCACCAACTTAATGAGTAACATATATTTCATGTGATATTATTTTCATACGTTTTTATTTATTGAATTATTTTATGAAAAAAATATTTGATGCGTGAAAATTACTACATTGTTGCTAGACATGTCTGCGATATGACAATAATTTGGGAAGTTCGTACAACACATTGTCCAACTAACTATTAGCGACAACTTTGCATCAAATCCTATATATTTCAAATGAAGCAAATTCAGATTCATTACTAACAGTGTGGTAAAAAAGAATGCTCTCTATTAGGAAAAACTTAAATGGCATATTAAACTCTAAGAGACATTTTGTTTCATCCTAAAGGTTGATTATGTATGTATTATGAGAAGCAACTCTAATATTCAACTATATGATTTTAATTAATTAATAAATGATAATTAGTTATATTTATTTTTTTTATTCAATAATTATATGTAATGCTTATATTACATTTTTCCCCCTCTTTTCATGGAGATCTAAACACTAGGGGTGGCAATACGGTCCGGTCCGGTTAAATTGGACCAAATTGATCCGGTCCCAGTCCGGTCTTTTCGGAAATATAAGGACCAAAGATTGGATTGGATACACTGCGATCTTGATCCGGTCCGGTCTTGACCCAGTTCGGTCCCAATTTGGTTTTGATTTTAGATTGAGCTTGTGGGGATTTGAGTGTTGGGGTCTCTTATCCGGTCTCTTATCCGAGTTTTTTTACCTCAAATCTAAGCCCGAATATGATATTGGATTGTTTGCTATCCGGTCCCGGTCCGGTCCCGGTCCGGTTTATACGGTCCGGTTTCGGGTAAAACCAAACAGTCCTGGACCAAATTGCCAGCCCTACTAAACACATTATGTATAGTTGGATAATTTCAAAAATGGTATGTGCATTTCAAATCATCTATTATATCCATTATTATATATCATATTGATCGAGAAAATTCTTCGGGCCAACAGGGCGGGGCTTGTGCTAGTTCATAATAATAATAATAATAATAATAATAATAATAATAATAAAATTATTTATTAAGCAAACAAGGCGGTCGATGATTTGGTAACTTAAATGGTTCACATCGGACTATCCGAGTCACCTAACTTGAGCATACCCCTAATAACAACGAATAAGTAACTCACGGTTCAGCACATCCAACTAAGCTAACCAAGAAAGGCCGTCGGCTTTCTTCAATCTGCGACTGCGAGCAAGCCAGAACCAGAATCTCGCAACTTTGGTTTGCGGTTCCCAGCTTCCCTCTCGTCTCCTGCCCCCTGCCTGAGTTTTGCCGTCGGTAGTCATTTGAAGGGGCCTCTAATTCTCTGGTAGGAAATGATATGATATGAGAATGAGCCGGCTTCTGTAACTATCTCTCTTTTCCCGAGTTCATGTTATGTTTTCTGTGTCACTCACTGTCTTGATCATTGATGCTCTGGATTCCTGGTCTCTATCTCTGCATCGATAGTATGCTAATTGGATGCGGCTATCGTTGCCAAGTCTGTGATGTAGTCTTACTGCATAAGCTGATGAATCTAGTTCCGGGTTAGCGGATTCTTTTTACGGGATACGGCTCTTTATCTTAACAGCTTAGATATGCAATTCAATTTGAGGAGCAGATGATATGGATGGCTTTCAGAATTTGGATTTTGATATTGACCTCGTCCTTTTTCTTTGAGCATTATCTTTGTGTTTTGTTTGATGCGTTTTAAATGTAATCTCCTAGTGGAATGGGGCTAAAGAATGCACCTAGCAATTCCAGCCATAGGAATTGGGGGAAACCTCTGGTCGTGCACTGCTGGGATTTAGGGTTTAATGATAGGGCTTGGTGGTAATATAATGGTTGGGTGAATCCTCGGTTATATGATATGAAACACCTCAAAAAGAAGTCAATAAAGACTAAGAGCAACCTGTTTGAAAGAAGTATGCTCCAATGTTCTCTTTAGCTCTACTCCTACTGCAAGGATTAGAAAACAACGTTATGGGATCCTGCTAGAATAAGTGCCAAACACTAGACTAATTCAAAAAGGTATGAAGCAATTAAATGTGGAACACTAGCAGAATAACTGGTTCAATTTAAGCCACCATAATGGACATCATGGTTTGTCTATGGATTCCTCAATAGCGTTCCTATAAATAGAGTGGCAGTTGTCTTTCCTTCTTTATTTTTTGTTGGTGAAATAGTTTGCATAAGCGATGGTTAAACTTGTCAATCATCATTGATATCATTAGTCTAGTGTTTGGCAAGTTTGTGTAGTTTTGATGTAACCCAAGAAGGTTATCGTCTATTGACTTTTTGGCATTTCCTTGTGTCTGTGTAGGCAATGGGGAAGGACTCCAAAGCAAAAGATGCAGGAGGTAAAGGCAAAGGAAAGCAGGCAGCTGGCGGGAGTGACGAAAATGCTTCGAAGGGGAAGGGAAAAAGTGGAAAGGCTGATGGACTTGGCACATGCACTTATGTGAAAGGTGTTTTATCCTGCATTTATTTAAGCATTTCCTCCTCTCCCTTCTTAATTTTTTTGATTAGATATGATGCATAAAAGCCAAAAGGTCCAATTACAAAACTTCTGAAAGCCTCAAGAGGCTGCCGAGAACCAAAGCAAGGTTACAAAATGGACCTGAAAAAATTAGAGGCAACCACCATCTGCAGCATCATTAACTAGAGCTCTGCTGAACCATGCGAGGGAAACAAACACCTATAATGTCTTCCCTAATAAGTCTCTCAAGATCATTGGGTAGATCCGTTAGTTCATGCGTACCAAAGGGATAGACGAGACTGTGCTTCGAGAGCCAGTCCGCGACTCTATTCCCTTCCCGATACGTATGAACTAACCGAACTACCCAATCCTGGGCCATCAATCTCCGGATTGCATTCAGCATGGTCGAATGTGGATGGACGTTATCTTCCCTGTTGTTGATAAAATCTATAGCAAGTTTTGAGTCGGTTTCGACGATGAGGAACTGACTTCCTCTATTTAAAGCAAAAGTGAGACCCTGGTGGATTGCCCTAAGCTCCGCCAGGATCGCCGACCCGGTGCCGATTTTACAACAAGAATCCCCCCAACCAATCTCCATCATGATCTCTAAGACAACCTCCAGCCGAAGCAATGCCCGAACTACCTTGTGCCGCACCATCTGTGTTCAATTTCAGCCAGCCTGTCGGTGGAGGAGTCCACCCAACCATTTGCTCTTGTCTACGTAGCTGCTGTCCTGCATCAGTTGTTATCTCTGCTGCCTCACAAGTTACAATCCACTCCTTAGCTTTCAGTGTAATATAGTTGATCAGGGAAGAGTCCAACGACCTTTTGCCTTTGGAAATGTAGTCACATCTGTATTTCCACATATACCAGGTAATCAAGGAGAAGAAGGTCGCCCATTCACCTGGCCATTCACCTTCTTAATACACCCTGTTTTTGAAAAGCTTTCCACAAAATTGAATGTCACATGTCCTTTTACTTCTTTTTTTTTTTTTTTTTGTGCTTATTAGCTTTATGCTATTCATCTGTGGTGTGGCAAGGCATCTGTTATGTGAGAAGCAAGGTTCCTTTTATTAATGTTTATTAGCTTTTGCTATTCTTCTGTGGTTTAGCAAGGCATATCTTATGTGAGAAGCAAGGTAAGATTAATGAAGCATACAAGAAGCTACAAGATGGTTGGCTAAGCAATGGAGACAAAGTCCCTCCTGCTGAGTTTGCAAAGGTGTGTTTCCTGAATTTGACAACTGAATTCTTGAATTGAAACGCTTGTCTGCATTTTGGCTTGTGATAACTTATTTTTAATACTTTGATATGCTTCATATCCAACTCGTCTGTAAATTTGCATATATAAAGTTAGGCTCCCCACAGTTTCACCTTGAAGAAAACAAGTTTCATTGTCCAGTGTTCTTTTTCCCTTACATGGTTCTCGTTCTATCTGTTGGAGAGGTCTACTTTTTATTATCATCTTCTTCATGAAATGCCGATGTAAATGCATGAGAAAGATTAGCTTGCACCAGCTTCATGGAACTTGGTACGTAATCTTAATGGCGAAAATCTGGTTTAAAGAATTGGAAAATTGTTTTTCTGGCTTTCTGGTGGGTTTGATAGTGGCGATATTGGGGTTGGTCAATGAAAGTCTGCTGCTGGCCTAAACCCTATACATCCAGGTTCCCACCCTTTGCTGTTCTTCAGCAATTTGAATTCAACATGTTGTGTTACAATGACAATATAAACTAGTAGGACGCTTCTCCAAGTTCAACTAGTTAAATCTTAAAGATTGCTGGAGATAGCCTTGAAGGTCTGGTCCGCATGAAACAATCTAACTTTAATTTTTTTTCCAGTTAGCAGCAGAGTATTCAGAATGTCCTTCAGGGAAGAAGGGTGGAGACCTTGGATGGTTTCCTCGTGGCAAGATGGCCGGTCCTTTCCAAGAGGTCGCTTTCAACACCCCTGTTGGAGCTACCAGCGCACCGTTTAAGTCAACGTATGTATCTATATGTGGAAATCGGTTGGGATAAATTAGACTAGACAGCACTTTATTTCAGAAGAATAAAATATGAAGAGTAAATACTAATCAGTTTATTGTTAAGGCTTACAAGTTTGCCCATTGCTGATGCAGACATGGGTATCACGTAATCCTAGCTGAAGGCAGAAAGAATTGATGGAAATGGTCGTCAAATGGGGCAGTGGTTATGAGTGTTAATGTATCGATTGTTTCTAGTCCTTTTCCCAGTGAGAATTTGAATTTTAGCAGCTATGCCTTTTCCATTCCTCCATTTACTTTATCACTATGGAACAATTGAGTGAATGTTCATACATAATCTCATTGTCGTCGTCATGACTAGGAGTGAAATTGCCTGAATGGCACGCATAGATGTTACAAGAACAGCTGAAGCCGGAAGATCTCTTCCCATTTAATAAGGAGGAGGTGAAAGTGAAACTGCTTTATATTTCTATTTTATCAATTTGGTCCGTATGAACTGCTGAACTGATGCATAATTGAGGGGAGGGACAAATATAGTGACTTTATGTCTAATTTTTCTATATATATGGGGTTGTTTGGATTGAGTATTTGGGGTGTTATTTGAGGTTAAATAACACAAAATCTGTTATTTGACCCCAAATAACATGTTTGGCTGACAAAAGGCGGGATGTGTTATTTGGATGTAGTGTTTTGTCAAATAACAGGTTTGAGACCAAATAACACAAAAAGTGTTGTTTGCCAAATACTTGGGAGGGAGCAGATATTTGCCAAATAACAAGTTTGAGATCAAATATCACATACCAAATAATAGATTTTATATTATGTGGTATTTGTGTGATAATTGGCCCCAAACAACAAGTTTGTCAAATACTCAATCCAAACAAGTTTCCCGGCTAGAAGACACCAATGATCAACACGTGTCCAAATAACCTTCCTTTTTCTCCTGTTTACAATTTTGCCATTCAGATTTTGCACTCTACAATTGAATTCTAGAGTTCTTGCCACGCTTCCCTAACCCAGTCCCTGATATTCCTCTGCATATCATCTCTCTCTATCCTTCTTCTCCGATCAAAAGATCGTCGCCAGCAATACCCGACCAGATGGCAATGTTGATAGAGTCCTGTTTCTCCCTTTTGCATGTTATTCGCTTCCCCTATTCTCTTTCTTCTAATGCATCCCGATTCTTCAATTCTTATGTTGTTTGTTCCTTCACGAATTCAATCCAAGTTCATCTAATTAGCAAAGAACTATCGATTGAACTTTATCAAGGATCCGAAGTATAATTGTATGCAACACAAAGCATAATTACACACACTAACTCCAGGTCAAACTCATTAAGGGAATAATACCTTAGTATTGGTATAGTAGAAGCACACCTAACGATTTCGTTCCTTCAGGTTTTAATAATCAATCTCTGTAACTTTGTGCATGAAACAGTGAAATGATCTATCTGCATGCAACCATTGCAGTAAATCAATCACAAAAGAGGGAGGGAGTAGAGAAGACAACAAAGATGGTCGGAGAGAAGAAGTCAAAAGGAGAACCCAAACCTTTTCAGTTCTAGGGATTGAAAAACACACACTGCTGGACTTCCGTATTTTTTAGATAGTGAGAGGGTTCGAATTTATGGGTGAAGGAGAAATACAAGGCATTAGAGAGAATACTTCAATCTATAATTGAGAGGAAAGGAAAGGAAAGCATAAGGAAAGAGAATGGAGTCGCTGTGTATTGGAGAAAGGACGACAAAAACAATGACGGAAAGCGAAGGCGGCTGTGGAGCACCGGCGTAAAAAAACGGAGACAGACAACAAGGAGATGGTGGGGGATGGTTGGATAGAAGGCAAAAGGATTTGGGGAAAAAAGGTTCAATGGAATTCGGTAGAGTTACGGGATATTGGGGTTTGTAAATAAACTAGCGTGGCCCCAGCCATTTGGCCGGAGGAAATTGAGGTATGAAATTTGATAATGTAATGGGATGTATAACTTATTGTAGTATAGTTTTTTTTGGAAACACGTTATAAAAATAGTAAATTTTAGTAGGAAAGATATATGAATGATGCAACGAATAAAAAATCAGTCTTATGAACCAAAATCAAATACATGTTACCTTGTGAAACAATATTGTTTCTGGTAATATGATGAGGTGGAGTAAATTTTATATAAACCGAATTCCAGAAAATCGAATAAAAAATTGCCTATCCCGCGATTTTCGGGAAATGAGCATCTCACAATCGTTGTTAGCTTTTACTCGGCCCATTGGCCGATTAATTTGCTTTATAAAACTTTCATCTTGTCATCATTGTGCTTTCTGGTTTTTTGCCAAGCCATGATAAAATCTAAAGAAATCAAGCATGAACAACACGATTTGTGATAGGAACCATCGTTCCTGTATCCCTAGAAAATGGTGGTAAACACAGACTCACCTACCAAACTGGTTTGGATTGAGATTTTTATCGGGTATCAGGGAATCATGTGATTATAAATTAGACTTGATCAAAACGGGCCAAAACTTGAAATTCAGCCTGTTTGACCGACTCATGCCAAACTCTAATTATTCTTTACTTTTAAACTTTCTATTTGAAAATAAAAAATAATGAAAGAAAAGAGATGACTGCAATTCGCCATTTTCACATCACTCATTCGGGAATAAAACTATAGAATTTCGAAAGGAAAATGAAAATATTTAGGATCGTGTTAATGTTAAAAATAACCAAATAGATCTTTCTGTTTAGTTTTTTACTAACAAATACCAAATGATTCCCTATAATATACACTATAATTTAATCATATGATATCAAATAATTACATAATATATATTTGAAATGATAAAAATTGGACTTATTGGATTGGTCGAGGTTGACCATTGAATAACTTTAAAATACATTATATTTTAACCACTTAGATATAAAATAATATCATAATATATATTATGCAAGAGAAAATAGCTTGTTTTAGAATGTCAAACCCATGATGTTCATTTGTTTACTTGATGGGCAAATCCCGTGTAGGTCATGCCCATTCAACTCTTTTATTTTATGATTAGCGGTTAGCCCATTAGTAGACCTGGCAATCGGGTCGGGTGGGGTAATTTCGGGTTGCAAACTTCGGTTACGGGTTGGGTCATGTTTAGTTGGCTTATTTCGGGTCAAATATTGACCCAACCCATTCGGTTTCGGGTTGGGTTACGGGTCATTTCGGGTTATGAGCGTTCTTAGAAACAATATCAAACATGCTTCATATTTTCTTAAAGAACACAAATTTTTACATATGCATGACAATAGTTTACCTAACACATGTTAATTAACATATTCTCAAATCCTCCAACGGTAATGAAATGAAATATAAATTGCGCAAATCGTCAAAAAACAATCACAAGAGAAATACTAATACAAGAAACACTTGATATTTGATTACCCTTAAACTCCAAACATGTCTTTCAAATCCTTGTGATTTTTTTTAAACATCTCACCAATTTATGTGATTTTATCATATTTTGAGGGTAATATAGTAAATGGAACGGGTCTAACGGGTCGACCAGCTAACCCACCCAACCCGAACCAAAAAATCACGGGTTATCGGGTTCGGGTCATTCGGATTTCGGCTTACAAAAAATTCTAGTTTTCGGGTGGTTTCGAGTCGGGTCAATGGGTTGGGTTATAATTTGCCAGGTCCACCCATTAGAATCCATGCATTAGTTTATTGTTAAATTTTTTTTCTTTTTAGCAATAAAAATGAGTATTGTTTTTGCATTTTCATATATATTTTATCACCACGGAGAAATAAAAGGACTTAAAGAAAAATATTGACACTCCTGGACCTGTTTAAATCCGCATGTGTACGGTAAGTTAGCCCGTTCCACAGAGGAAAAAGAAAAAAATTGACACTCCCTATTCTACCCTTCCTACAAACGCTCATGGAACAGGGAATTTGAAATGAGGGATGAGTTTTTTCCTCTCTGCGATTATATGTTTTTAATTTAAAAAGATATAACAAATGTACTTAGTGTGATTGGTTATTATCTTTGCTCTTCTTTAAAGTGGTCATGGTTCGAATCCTAGTAAGTGTCTTTTTAATGAATAAATAAAAGTAATTGTGAAGACCAAAATGTCCTTCCTACTTTCACCCTGGATGCAGGAAATTTGAAATGGAGCTTCAAGTTTTCTCATTTGGCTTTTATTTATTGTGTAGATATTTTATTATATAATATTTAAAAAATATAAATGGCTGGAGTGTTTGATACGGAGTCCGGAAAGTAGAGGTGACAAATGGATTGATCCATGGATTGGTTGGTGGGTTGGATTGGTGGATTCATGGATTGGTTGGTGGATCCATGGATCAAATGGATTAGATCCAATGGATTGGTGGATTCATGGATTGGATCAAGTGGATTGGTGGATTATCCATGAATCCAAATGACATCTCAATCAAGGACCAATATGTAAAATGTGAAAAGTTTAGGTACTAAAATGTCATAATGAAAAAATTTAGGTACCAAAACATAATTTTTCAATGATATTTTTCATATAAAACATCAAATTGTGGGTACCAAAATGTCAAATATAAAAAGTATAGGTACCAAATAATTTGTCATTTGGATCCATGGATCAATCCATGAATCCACCAATCCAATTGGAATTGGATCAAATGAATTGAATTTAAATGGATTGGATTAGGTGGATATTTTTAATGGGTTGGTGGATTGGATTGAAAATTGCCACCTCTACCGGAAAGTAACTCTCTATAGTTACGATTTCTTAAGGATAACTATACTAGCAATTAGATTACATAACAGTAGAAGTCCCCCGTTACGCATTACTATTAAACTAGCACAGGGCCTGGCTCGTTGGCCGGAAGAATTTTGTCGAGGAATATGATATATAATAATGGATATAATAGATGATTTGAAATGGATGAAATGATTGTTTTCTACCTTAGTTATTGCACATAACATTTTTGAAAGTGATCGAACTATGCATAATATGTTTAGACTTTAGACCTCCATGAAAAGAGAAAAAAAATATAATATAAGAATTACATATAATTATTGAATGAAAAAATATATAACTAATTGTCATTCAATACTTAATTAAATCATATAGTTGAATATTAGAGTTGTTTCTCATAATACATACATAATCAAACTTTAGGATGAAAGAAAATGTTTGATAGAGTTTATTATGTCCTTTAAGTTTTTCCCAATAGAGAGCATTCTTTTTTACCACACTGTTGATAATGAATATGAAGTTGCTTGATTTGAAATATATAGGACATGATGCTAAACTATCACTAATAGTTAGTTGGACAATGTGTTGTGTACGGACTTCCCAAATTATTCTCAGATCGCAGACATGTCTAACAACAAAGTAGTAATATTCATGCAGCAAATATTTTTTTTCATGAAATAATTCAATAAATAAAAACGTATGAAAATAATATTACTTGAAATATATGTTCCTCATTAAGTTGGTGAATGAGCGAGGGTATGAGTAGTATACATTTATTTTAAAAAGATAAAAGTTGCAAAGTGTCTTTTGGATTGCATGAGATCTCATATTCCCATTATCGCTAACTGACTTATGCTTTTTTGCAATAGATAGTTCAAAATGTGCCTTAAAACTTTTGTTTCCACTAGTGTAAAAGAATTGTTTGAACCAAAAGATTGTAAAATCGTATAAAAAAGTTGGTAGTAGAGTATTTTATACTGAAGTCATAATTTAACTGTGGTTCAACCGTTTCATATTGCTAATATCACCTATCGATTTAGCCTATGATGTGAAGTTTTATGGTCTAACCTATTAGGGATAAGTAAATGTATGTTTGCTTGTATTATAAGTTACCTTACTCTCCATTAATCCTAGTCCTTGTAGTACACTACTCTTGTAATCCTTGGGTATAAATACCCTAGTGTTAATAATATTCCATACGTTTTCCCTAAACCTTACATGGTATCAGAGCTGACTTTCCAACCCTAAAACCCAAAATTTTCCTTCGGCCGGCGTCCACGTTCAACTTCTGTCGTGCCAAGTCTTGCAACCCTAGTTCTTTTTTCCGACGCCAACGTTCAGCGTCCATCTCGCGTCTCTTCGTCGTCTTCTCTCCACGCCCGACATCAATTCTGCAACCTCCGATGAGGTTTCCTCCGGAGGTGCTGGCGGCGAGGCTGCCCTCGTCACATTCAACCTGGCTGCCTCCCCTCCACTAAAGCTCGCCGCCCAGAATTTCCCGTCCTGGCGAACGCAGCTCATGTCCCTTTTAGCTGGCCTCGACTTCACAGGCTTCCTTGATGGTTCTCTCCCTACACCAGCCGCCACGGTCATGGCTAATGGTGCGTCGAGCTCTAATCCTGCCTACATACGCTGGTATCGACAGGATCAGCTCTTGCTCAACGGCATCTTTGCCTCTGTTTCTGAAGGTGTCCTTCGCTTCATCAGCTCGTCGGCCACGTCTCACATCGCGTGGAATACTCTTACGACAGTGTCATAAACAACATAACCTTCTCCCAATAACTCGAGTTGTTGGGAGAAGGTTATGCTGGATCTTATACCACTCTCTAACACGTCCCCTCAAACGAAAGCCAACTCACGTGTTTGAAGTTTGCACAGACCCACCATACCTTGTGCTTTAATCAACTGTTATATTGGGGGCCGTGGAGATTCGAACACAGGACCACTTGGCCAAACCAGCTCTGATACCATGTCAAGAACCAGTTGCTCCCAATAACTCGAGTTGTTGGGAGAAGGTTATGCTGGATCTTATACCACTTGTCATAAACCACTTGGTCCCGATAACTCGAGTTGTTGGGAGAAGGTTATGCTGGATCTTATACCACACTCTAACACGCCCCCTCAAACGAAAGCCAACCCATGGGCTTGAAGTTTGCACAAGCCCACCATATATTGTGCTTTAATCAACTGTTAATATTGGGGTCGTGGATATTCGAACACACGACCACTTAGCCAAACCAGCTCTGATACCATGTCATGATCCAGTTGGTCCCCATAACTCGAGTTGTTGGGAGAAGGTTATGCTGGATCTTATACCACACTCTTACAGATGTCTGGCTTTGTGGTCCTGTTAAGTAAGTGTTTTCGGATGTTTGGCGTCCTGCCCCTTTAATTCAGTTGATGGTTATTTGTATTATCTTGTTATCGTTGACAATTTTACTCGCTATACATGGATTTATCCACTTCGTTTTAAATCCGATGTTTTATCCGTCTTTGTGGCCTTTAAACAACTTGTCAAAAACTATTTTTCTACAACCATTCGTCGGATCTACACCGACGGGGGAGGCAAGTTTCAAAAATTGCGTCATGAACTGACCGCTCATGATATTACTCACCTATTGACTCCTCCGTACACACCTGAGCATAATGGTCTTTCTGCGCGTAAGCATCATCATATTGTTGAGACGGGCCTTACCTTACTTCATTGTGCTCGTCTTCCCCTCACCTATTGGTCGTATGCCTTCTCTACTGTTATTTATCTTATAAACCGTCTTCCCTCGTCTTCTCTTCGTGGTCAAGTTCCTTTCACTGTTCTTTTCAATGAGTCGCCTAATTATTCTAAACTTCGTGTTTTTGGATGTCTTTGCTACCCCTGGCTTCGTCCTTACTCCTCTCATAAACTCCTGTTGCGTTCTCGTCCCTGTGTCTTCCTCGGGTACTCGCATCAGCAGAGTGCTTACCGCTGTCTTGATCCCTCTACCCAACGTCTGTTTTTGTCTCGTCAAGTGGTCTTTGTTGAAACCACTTTTCTTGGGGTCTCTTCCTCCTCCTCGTCCAGTCCGTCTGCAGCTCCTTCCCTCTCGTCCTGGCTTGCTGCATTCCTTCTTGTTGTTCCTCTGCAGTCCACGCCATCACCTGGCTCTTCCCCTTCGGATCCACAGCAGCTCTCCTCTTCACCTAGATCCACCGAGACAGGCCCTTCTGCTGGGTCTCCGCCAGCTACTACGGCTGCTGCTCCTCCCGACGCTGGCCCTTCTCCTCGGCCCTCCACCTCTCGGCCAGCCTCGCAACCTCACTCTGTGGTGACTCGTGGTAAGAACAACATCTGGAAGCCTAACCCGAAGTATGCTAATGTTACTCATTTGCAGAATTCGTCCGTTCCGTTGAACCTACTTCGGTGAAGCAATCTCTCAAGCATCCTCTGTGAAACCCTTACTTTATATTACACAACGAAACAGTAAAATACATCGAGTTTAAACATTCTCGGGCCCGAGCTCTACATATATTTTTTTTTCTCAAACTTCAAACCATAATTTACATTTTCATCAGAGTCAAAACAGAAAACCGGGGAAGTCCGCTTTATTACAAAATCCACACAACATAAAACATTTAAGGAGTTCGGAGTCCTCCGCCCACCTCATGGCTTCCCTTCACGCTTGAGTCCCGATATCTACAGTACAGACCTTACTTCTGATCTTGATCTGAGGAAAAATGGTGACGAAGGATGAGTCGTCGCTCAGTGAATAAATTCTAAGCTCAGATCGACATCAATACAAAAACAGTATTGGGCAGAAACACCCTAGCACATAACAGGACTTAAGCTGATTATTCTACTTTCCATTCCACAGGATCAATCAAGTTCACATGTTCACATCTCATAGTCAAAAACACATAAAACAGATGACAGATAGAGGCATTTTACTTATACAATTTCACTTTCAAACTTGCTAAATGATATACTCCTCGGGTAGTACAGTAGTGGAAGGCTGCAGGATAACCATGTACAGCCATCAGATAACTGGAGTACCGCGGGACAAAACCCCATCCGGTACGAACAGGAGTGCACAAGGCACGAAACAGGAGTGCTCAAGGCACGAAAGAGGAGTGCTCAAGGCACGAAACAGGAGTGCTCGCACCAACAGGAATATCGCGGGACACAACCCGGACCGATACAAAAACAGGAGTCGCCACGGGATTACCCCAGCCCGGCTAACTGAACAGAACAGGAGTACCGTGGGTCGTCACCCAAACGACACGGTGCGAAGCACGAGCGCTCAAACAGGAGTATCGTGGGGTTTAACCACATCGATACAAACAGGACACACTACTGTACCGAGGTATCATAAAACCTTTTTACTTATTCTTAAGTATTCACCTCTTTTCATTAATAGTTCACTTAGACACTATAGGCTCAAAAGCATTCATAGTGCTTTTGTACCCTCAGTCACAACAGAGTGGAATGTAAGCTGAAGAGCTTACTCCGAGTTATTCAAGCAGAACAGGATTAGTAAGCCTAATGGCTCACTCCAAATCTGAACAGACAAGACGGGTTCGCAAGTTCGACTACTTGCTCATAATCCGCACAATAAATCAACAAAATGTCTTTCCATATCTCATTCACAATTCATGCATTTCCAACTTCATACCAAATGCAGATAATGAATAAACACAAACAAGCCATATCACATAGCCATATCATTTCCCATAAATTCCCATATTATACCGGAGCCTCTTCATGACCCCGATATGTATTCGGGCCGCTTCATGACCCGAATACTGTGATTATGTTGAGGTAGATCTAAGATTAGAATCTACTCACAGCTTTGTCTTCACTCGGCTATGCCCTTGCCTTTGGATGAGCCCCCGGCTTGATCCTTACCTTTATGTACAAGATTTCCAGGTTATTCAAGCACCAAGACACGTATACAATCATCATAATCATGGTTATATTCATGCATGTCAATAAGACCACAAGGGAAGTCATACGATTGTACACTTTACCATGCTTCCTCATTTTGATCATTTCTCCCTTGATACTTAACCAAATCCGTTGATTCTTGTTGCTACTGATACTATACTCATAGGGCTACAACATATCCAAAGTTCAGACCATTTGGATCAGCCTTTTGATCCCAGCAATAATTTTAACTTGACATTTCAAAACTGTCAACAACTTTCTTTTCACTTTAAAACCAACTCTCCTTCTTCTAACAATTGTTCCAGACCACTCCGACATCAAAACTACATTCTGAACGGTCCATTCGAAGAACCACCTATACTTAACCTCATACCAAATTTCTAGAACGATCCAACGGCGTATTCGCACAGGATCTTACCTCTAATCTGCTGTCCTGCTACAGAAAAACAGTATCGCACCCCTTCTGTCCAGCGACTTTCCTCGATGAACCAGAGATCATATCGATGATCCCAACGGTCAAATCGTAGCCAAAGAAGTATGAAACCCAACCTGCAAATCTCAGGACGATCCAACTGTTTGATTGTCCGGAATCGTCCTTCTCACAGGCTGTCTCGCTGCTGGACGGAAATTGGCAGCACCCCTTTTGCCTCCTTCTTCTTCCTCTTCCTCTCCTTGATATGCTTTTCTTTCTAGCTTTCACTCTTTGTTTCTGAAAGGGGGGGTGGTGGTTTTTGAGGTGGTGAAACCAGGTGAAAGGAAGAGAGCAAGAGAGAGACGTGGGAGAGAGTGAGGGGAAGGGATGAGAAGGAAATGAGAGATAAGAGGATGGGCAGATTTTATCTCCCTTATCTAGAATTCTCCATCCCTCCAAATTGTCTATTTGGCCCCAAACTTTCCTTCACTTGCAATTAAGTCTAGCACTTCCACTATTCACTTTCTTTTTGGTTCAAAAGACTAATTTTTGTAACCCAATCACAACCACGTAATTATAACGTAATACTAGTACGAGGGCAGGGATGTTACATTTCCTCCCCTCTAAATAAAATTTCGTCCCGAAATTTACCTTGAAACAAGTAGGGGTATTGTGCTTTCATGCTTTCTTCCGTCTCCCACGTGGCTTCTTCTCCAGTGTGACTTTTCCAAATTACTTTCACCATAGGAATACTTCGATTCCTAAGTTGTTTCACCTTTTGGTCCACGATCTCTTTTGGTTCCTCCACATAGCTTAGATCTTCCTGGACCTCAATCTCATCTGGTTCCAGTACATGTGACGGATTCGATCGGTATCTTCGAAGCAAACTCACATGGAAGACATCATGAACTTGAGACAATTCTGGTGGTAAGGCAAGTCGATAGGCTACCGGACCTATCTTTTCCAGAATCTCATAAGGTCCGATATACCTCGGACTTAACTTACCCTTCTTCTGGAATCTCAAAACACCTCTCCAAGGAGACACTTTCAAAAATACTTTCTCTCCACTCTGAAATTCCATCTCTCTTCGGTGGATATCAGCATAGCTCTTTTGCCGGTTTTGTGTGGCCTTCAATCGGCTTCTGATCACTTTAATCTTATCCACTGTCATCTGAACGATTTCAGGTCCCTCCAATTGCCGTAACCCTTCCTCATCCCAGCACACTGGGGATCTGCATTTCCTTCCATACAGAGCTTCGTATGGAGCCATACCAATACTACTATGGTACTGGTTGTTATAAGAAAATTCAATCAGTGGCAAATGTTCATCCCAAGAACCTTGGAAATCCAGTACACAAGCTCGCAACATTTCCTCAAGAGTGAGGATTGTTCGCTCGGATTGACCATCGGTCTGGGGATGAAAAGCGGTTGAAAAGTTCAGACGAGTACCTAGTGCTTCTTGCAAACTCTTCCAGAATCGAGAAGTGAACCTCGGATCTCTGTCAGAGTACTGGTACTCCATGTAGTCTCACTATTTCCTCCACATACTTCTTTGTCAGTAACTCTAGCGAACAACCCCATCTAATGGGTATAAAGTGAGCCGACTTTGTCAATCGGTCCACAATGACCCAAACGGCGTCGTTCTTCTTCTGAGTCCTAGGTAGACCATAGACAAAGTCCATGGTAATCTTTTCCCATTTCCATTCTGGAATGGACAGTGGTTGCAATTTTCCCGCTGGGGCTTGATGTTCAGCTTTCACTTTCTGACATACCAGACACGTCAAGACATGTTCAGCCACTTCTTTCTTCATCCTTGGCCACCAATAATGAGATCTCAACGAACGGTACATTTTTGTCGTTCCGGGATGCATTGCATAAGGAGAGGAATGAGCTTCTTCCAAAATCTCCCTTCGCAATTCATCCACATTTGGAACACAAAGTCTTTCATTTAGTGTCAGAACGCCATCTCGGAATGTGAATTTAGTTTCTTCCCCTTTACGACTCTTATCAATAATCTTCCTCAATTCAGGGTCTTGATCCTGAACTTTAATAATTCTTTCTCTCAGAATTGGTCGCACTTGTAAAGTGGCCAATAACCCTCCTGTGGAATTCATTTCCAATTCAACACTCATAGCTCTCAAAGCAATCAAATTTGCCATTAAACCAGTCTCCTCATTTTTAGTACGATGCGTGGTCTTTCGACTCAAAGCATCTGCCACAACATTTGCTTTGCCTGGATGGTATTCGATGGTACAGTCGTAATCTTTCAACAACTCTAACCATCTCCTTTGCCTAAGATTTAGCTCTTTTTGCTCCATCAAGTACTTGAGACTCTTATGATCAGTAAGGATCTGGAAAGTCTCACCGTACAAATAATGACGCCAAATCTTTAAGGCGAATACCACAGCCGCCAGTTCTAAATCATGAGTCGGATAAGATTTCTCATACGGTCGTAATTGCCTGGAAGCATAAGCAATTACTTTACCATGTTGCATGAGAACACATCCTAACCCTTGATGCGAAGCATCACTGTATACCACATAACCTCCAGTTCCTGAGGGAAGGGCAAGAACCGGTGCAGTGGTTAACTTCCGCTTCAACTCTTCGAAACTGGATTGACATTTATTATCCCATATAAAAGATTGCTCTTTCCTCAGTAACTTTGTCAATGGTGCAGCAATCAGAGAGAACCCCTCAATGAACCTTCTGTAGTATCCGGCCATGCCAAGGAAACTTCTTAGTTCAGGTATATTTTTCGGTGGCTCCCATTGTATCACTGCTTCTACTTTCCTTGGATCCACCTCTATACCTCTCTCAGACACCACATGGCCCAAAAATACTACTTGATCCATCCAAAATTCACATTTGGTGAACTTAGCATACAACTGCTTTTCCCTCAGAATCTGCAGTACGATTCTCAAATGCTCCATGTGCTCTTCTTCACTTCCAGAATACACTAGAATATCATCAATAAAGACGATCACAAACTTATCTAGATATTCCTGAAACACTCGGTTCATCAGTGCCATGAACACAGCTGGAGCATTTGTTAACCCGAAAGGCATAACAGAAATTCGTAATGCCCATACCTAGTACGAAAGCTGTCTTCGGTATGGACTCATCCGCTACCCTTAATTGATGATAACCTGATCTTAGATCAATCTTGGAAAAGACCCTCGATCCTTGTAGTTGGTCAAACAAATCATCAATCCGAGGTAACGGATATTTATTCTTAATCGTTAACTTGTTGAGCTTCCGATAGTCAATACACAGACGAAAAGTTCCATCTTTCTTCTTCACAAATAATACCGGAGCGCCCCAAGGGGAGACACTAGGTCTAATAACCCCTTATCTAGCAACTCTTGAAGTTGCTCCTTCAGTTCTTTAAGTTCAAACGGAGACATCCGGTACGGAGATACAGAGATCGGAGCAGTGCCCGGTATCAGTTCAATAGTGAAATCTATTTCCCTTTCCGGAGGTAATCCTGGCAGTTCCGAAGGGAACACATCCAGGAACTCCTTCACAACCGGAACATTTTCAGGTTTCAATTCCGGTTTGCCCTCAGTCACATAAGCCAGATACACTTCACAGCCTTCCTTCATCAAACTCACCACCTTGGTGGCCGAGACTAGGCAACTAGGCACCACCTGTCTAGTCCCTCGAAAAATCACATTCTGACCATCTGGTCTTTCGAAAATTACTTCCTTAGTATAACAGTTCATTACGGCTCTATGTTGGCTTAACCAATCCATTCCTAGAATTATATCAAATTCAGTCAGCATAACCTCAATAAGTTAGCTGGCAGAATAGTTCCAGCTAGACTTATTGGGGCATCAGGATAGGCATATTCAATCACTACGGTATCTCCTACTGGGGTTTGAACTATTACATTCTTGTTCAACATTTCAGTGCACAGGCAACCCACGTGAGAATGCAGAAGATATGAATGAATGAGTGGCACCAGGATCAATCAACGCATAAGCGGTAAGATCGTAGATAAGAACCGTACCAGTAACGACCTCTGGAGAGATGTCAGCCTCCCTCCTAGTCATAGCAAAGGCTCGTGGCTGCACTTCACCCCGACTGCTCTGTCCACCCTGACTTTTGCCACGATTATTACCACCTCTTCCTGATCCTCTCACTGAACCTCCAGTCCTTCTGGACCCTTGAATTGTGGTCTGGGATCCAGCAGGCCTGGACTCTGACATGTGGGGACAATCACGGAGGAAGTGGCTGGTGTCTCCACATCGGAAACACCCACCAGTCACCCTCCTACAAACACCCATGCTGATTCCCACAATGTGGGCAAATAGGAGCTGGGCCTGCACTTCTCCGCTCCTGTCCGGGGTAACTGGCCACTGGACGTGAAATCTTCGGAATCTGATTAGGTCTACCCCCGAATGAGTTCCCAGCACTCGAGGAACCCACATTCTTCCACGTCTCTTCCTTCCTTCAGCCATTTGTGCTCCCAATTCATTCACCAAATCCTCTGCTCTCATGGCAGCCTCTCTCAAGGTGGCAAGATCAGTCGTCTCTGATTTTGCTACTATCATCTTGATCTGGGGATTCAGGCCTTGCTCATAGCGGTTACATCTAGCTCGTTCAGTAGGTACCAACTCCATCGCGAAGGTCATCAAACGATGGAAAGTGGCATCATACTCTTTAACAGTCTGCCCCCTTTGCTGTTTCAGGTCCAGAAACTCTTTCTTCTTCCTATCCACATACAGATCAGGCACATATTGCTTACGGAATTTCTCAAGAAATTCCGCCCAGGTATACCGAATTGTACGATCCTGAGCCCCGGGTACGGTCAACCACCAGTCATAAGCATCAGACCTGAGCAGGTAGTACATATACTCCACTCTTGCTTCATCAGGACACTCAAGGAGGTTAAAGATTCGTTCCATCTCCTTGATCCAGTCCAGAGCATCTTTAGGGTCAATAGCCCCTTTAAAGAACTCAGCCCCCATATTCCTCAGCTTTCAAAATCCTTGACATAAGGATTGGCTCTATTGCGGGACTCAGCATTATTTCCATTAAAATTAGAACCTCCAGCATTAGGATTCCCGTGAGGTTGCGGATCTGCTCCTTGACTGAACTCCACAAAAACAAAATCCGGAATCAAAATCAGTAATTAGTCACTTCCCCGTGAAATCATTTAAGTTTTCCCAGTAAAATCTCGTTTAAAACGTTTGGTATCCACGGGATCATATCCCAGCTCTGATACCAAAAATGTGAAACCCTTACTTTATATTACAAAACGAAACAGTAAAATACATCGAGTTTAAACATTCTCGGGCCCGAGCTCTACATAATTTTTTTTTTCAAACTTCAAACCATAATTTACATTTTCATCAAAGTCAAAACAGAAAACCGGGGAAGTCCGCTTTGTTACAAAATCCACACAACATAAAACATTTAAGGAGTTCGGAGTCCGCCGCCCACCTCATGGCTTCCCTTCACGCTTGAGTCCCGATATCTACAGTACAGACCTCACTTCTGATCTTGATCTGAGGAAAAATGATGACGAAGGATGAGTCGTCGCTCAGTGAATAAATTCTAAGCTCAGATCGACATCAATACAAAAACAGTATTGGGCAGAAACACCCCTAGCACATAACAGGACTTAAGCTGATTATTCTACTTTCATTCCACAGGATCAATCAAGTTCACATGTTCACATCTCATAGTCAAAAACACATAAAACGATGACAGATAGAGGCATTTTACTTATACAATTTCACTTTCAAACTTGCTAAATGATATACTCCTCGGGTAGTACAGTAGTGGAAGGCTGCAGGATAACCATGTACAGCCATCAGATAACTGGAGTACCGCGGGACAAAACCCCATCCGGTACGAACAGGAGTGCACAAGGCACGAAACAGGAGTGCTCAAGGCACGAAAGGAGTGCTCAAGGCACGAAACAGGAGTGCTCGCACCAACAGGAATATCGCGGGACACAACCCGGACCGATACAAAAACAGGAGTCGCCACGGGATTACCCCAGCCCGGCTAACTGAACAGAACAGGAGTACCGTGGGTCGTCACCCAATCGGCACGGTGCGAAGCACGAGCGCTCAAACAGGAGTATCGTGGGGTTTAACCACATCGATACAAACGGACACACTACTGTACCGAGGTATCATAAAACCTTTTTACTTATTCTTAAGTATTCACCTCTTTTCATTAATAGTTCACTTAGACACTATAGGCTCAAAAGCATTCATAGTGCTTTTGTACCCTCAGTCACAACAGAGTGGAATGTAAGCTGAAGAGCTTACTCCGAGTTATTCAAGCAGAACAGGATTAGTAAGCCTAATGGCTCACTTCCCAAATCTGAACAGACAAGACGGGTTCGCAAGTTCGACTACTTGCTCATAATCCGCACAATAAATCAACAAAATGTCTTTCCATATCTCATTCACAATTCATGCATTTCCAACTTCATACCAAAATGCAGATAATGAATAAACACAAACAAGCCATATCACATAGCCATATCATTTCCCATAAATTCCCATATTATACCGGAGCCTCTTCATGACCCCGATATGTATTCGGGCCGCTTCATGACCCGAATACTGTGATTATGTTGAGGTAGATCTAAGATTAGAATCTACTCACAGCTTTGTCTTCACTCGGCTATGCCCTTGCCTTTGATGAGCCCCCGGCTTGATCCTTTACCTTTATGTACAAGATTTCCAGGTTATTCAAGCACCAAGACACGTATACAATCATCATAATCATGGTTATATTCATGCATGTCAATAAGACCACAAGGGAAGTCATACGATTGTACACTTTACCATGCTTCCTCATTTTGATCATTTCTCCCTTGATACTTAACCAAATCCGTTGATTCTTGTTGCTACTGATACTATACTCATAGGGCTACAACATATCCAAAGTTCAGACCATTTGGATCAGCCTTTTGATCCCAGCAATAATTTTAACTTGACATTTCAAAACTGTCAACAAACTTTCTTTTCACTTTAAAACCAACTCTCCTTCTTCTAACAATTGTTCCAGACCACTCCGACATCAAAACTACATTCTGACGGTCCATTCGAAGAACCACCTATACTTAACCTCATACCAAATTTCTAGAACGATCCAACGGCGTATTCGCACAGGATCTTACCTCTAATCTGCTGTCCTGCTACAGAAAAAACAGTATCGCACCCCTTCTGTCCAGCGACTTTCCTCGATGAACCAGAGATCATATCGATGATCCCAACGGTCAAATCGTAGCCAAAGAAGTATGAGAACCCAACCTGCAAATCTCAGGACGATCCAACTGTTTGATTGTCCGGAATCGTCCTTCTCACAGGCTGTCTCGCTGCTGGACGGAAATTGGCAGCACCCCTTTTGCCTCCTTCTTCTTCCTCTTCCTCTCCTTGATATGCTTTTCTTTCTAGCTTTCACTCTTTGTTTCTGAAAGGGGGGGTGGTGGTTTTTGAGGTGGTGAAACCAGGTGAAAGGAAGAGAGCAAGAGAGAGACGTGGGAGAGAGTGAGGGGAAAGGATGAGAAGGAAATGAGAGATAAGAGGATGGGCAGATTTTATCTCCCTTATCTAGAATTCTCCATCCCTCCAAATTGTCTATTTGGCCCCAAACTTTCCTTCACTTGCAATTAAGTCTAGCACTTCCACTATTCACTTTCTTTTTCGTTCAAAAGACTAATTTTTGTAACCCAATCACAACCACGTAATTATAACGTAATACTAGTACGAGGGCAGGGATGTTACATCCTCAATGGCGGCAGGCTCTGACCTCCGAAAATGCAGCTCTTTGTGCTAACCACACTTGGGATTTAGTCCCACGCCAGCCTTATTTTAATGTGGTTGGGTGTCATTGGGTGTTTCGTGTGAAGTTTTTTCCGGATGGGTCTCTCGAGCGATTCAAAGCACGTCTTATTGCCAAAGACTTCCATCTGCGTCCGGGAGTGGATTTTCATGAGACATACAACCCAGTTTTGAAGCCTGTTACTTTACGGACAGTTTTTACACTTTCTTTATTTCACTCCTAGCCCATTTTTCAGTTTGATGTTCACAGTACGTTCCTTCAAGGGCCGCTACAGGAGGAGGTCTATATGTCGCAACCGCCTGGTTTTCGTGACCAGCGCTATCCACATCATGTCTATCGCCTTCGCAAGGCAATTTATGGTTTTCGGTAGGCGCCTCGTGCTTGGTATGATGCTCTCAGTTCTTTCCTGGTTCAGTGTGGCTTTCTCAAAACTAGTTCAGATGCCTCGTTGTTCGTCTATCGTCATGGTGGAGTAATTGCCTATTTCCTCATGTATGTGGATGATAGACCAATAATTACACATGTTTTCACCCCTATTCTGAAGTCGTTCGTGATATGGAATCTTGTGTTTTAAGCCTATTTCACGCTAGGTTGTGTGTTTATGTTCATATTTCAGACCCGGCGTTGGAAATCGAGGCGGAGAAACGAGTTCTGGGTCGAAAGGAGCGAAGTTGGGACGAAGGAGGCTGATGGACCAAAATACCCGGCCAAAAGGCAGAAATACCCGACCGGGTATTTTCTGGCCATGGTCGGGTAATTTTCACTTCGGGCGTCCGTGAGAAACAGAAGGGGGCCCGGGCAAATGGCTTAAATCCCCGGTCCGGGGATTATGAGGTCAGACCGGGGATTTTCCCCTTAAACGAAACGGTGCGTTTTGCATATACCCGGTCGAAACCCGAAATACCAGACCGGGTATTCGACCGGGTATCGCGACCAGGCAGCTGATAAAAGGAAGAAGAAGGCCAACATTGAAGGGTTCCGAGTTTTTGAGAGAGAAAGCAATCCCTAGAGAGAGAAAGCGACGAACCAGAGTTCCCAAGTGCCATAGCTTGATCTTCATCACCATTGGAGCCCGGCTTGAGCTTGGAGAAGTGCCGATTAAACGTCCAGGAGCAGAAATCCGTCTTCACAGTATGATTTCCGCGTCTGAATCTGCTTTTGCTTCTTTCTCTATGGAGTAGTTCCCCCATTCATCTGGGTATGGGGAACCCTAGATTTGTATGCTAGGTCTGATTGTATGAACCCAAGTACAGAGTTTGTGAATTGATTATATTCGATTGAGGTTTGAATGATTGAATGACTTGAATCCTGATCAAATTCCTGTTGTTTCTGCTTTGACCTGGAATAAGAATATCTGCCTAGGTTGATAGAGTATCCTTAATCGAAGGTGGCGAATTGGTGACTTTAGTCGAGGAGCCAATTCGCTATTCTGTACCGAATTCAATTTGGTAGTGGAGGTTTGGTTCGCTAGGGCCTCAATCTGTTTACTCCGGTGGAGGTTAGTCGCCCACTAGGGACTCAGATTGAGAGGGTCTGAAGACCTTTAGTCGAGACTTCAGACTAATTAAGAACCTTCCGCAGTATAACTTTCATGAAAACTGAACTTGGTAAATTGCAATCCGACTTAACTGCAGTCTAGGGGGAACCATATCCGGGTGACCTCTCTTGACTTGAACAACCGTTTAACTTGCTTTGTGTTTTTGTTTGCTTGAATCTGCACTAAAAGTTCCCTGCTAAATAACAAGAATTCACCGAGTAGCCATCACATCTAGGACCCGGGTTGACATTAAAACCCAAACCCGCTATACTATGCTTTAGGAAGTGGTTTCACTTGGCCATTTTCTAGAGTGACAGTAGGAGCGAGTCAAGTTTTTGGCGCCGTTGCCGGGGACGGCTAGGTTGTTGAAGAAAAGTGATTTCTGTTACTTTAGCATTTTCATTTTCGCATTGAGTGTTCGTTCTTTCCCACTTGTGCCTTCACGGGTTTGCATTGCTTGATTGTGTGCAGATAGTGCATGACCCGTAGCCAGTCGGGAGGTTTACTGCCGTTGGATCCAGAGATTGAACGCACCTGCAACCAACTTCGGAGACAACAGCGAGCTAGACTGGCTACGGTGGAGCGCAGAGACGGCCAATTGAGCAGCGAATCCGAGGACGAGTACGAGATGGAAGGCGATCAAAACCCACCTCCGGTGAACCAGATCCTGGGGAACGACCCCAATCCCCAGGGAGCTGGGGCCCATGATCATCCACCACCACCGGGCCCCACCTTGGAGTACTACTACACTCCACGGATTGCTGACATCCGCCCGGTCATCCTCTATCCGCCCATTCCTCCAAACAAATTCGAGATCAAGCCATGCTGGATTCAACTCATTACATCCTCTATCCAGTTCCATGGCTTGAAGGATGAGGAAGCCCGGGTACATCTTTCCCGTTTTCTGCAGCCGACGAACGAGTTCAAGCTGAACGGTGTCCCGGATGACGCAATCCGCCTTCACCTCTTCCCCCATTCTCTGGCGGGGAATGCTAAGAGGTGGTTGGAGACCCAGCCCCCATTGTCCATCACTTCTTGGGATGATCTGGCTGACAAGTTCGTGCATAGGTATTATCCGGCATCGAAGACCACAGAGATTCAGCGGGAGATCACTCACTTCCGCCAAGAGCCAGATGAGTCACTTCGTGATGCATGGGAACGGTACATGGGATACTTCTGGCAGTGTCCCCATCATGGCTTCAACGATGCATTCACAGTGGGGAACTTCTACAGCGCCCTCACTCCAGACAGCCAGAGGGTGATTGAGTCTCTATGCTCAGGAGGGGATATCCTTACTAAGACTCCACCCGAGCTGAACCAGATGATCAGTACCTTGGCTGCCCGAGACCATTCCTGGGGGCAGAACAACAGAGGCAGGAATTCCCGGGACCGGGGTGTGCATGCTATGGAGGCCAGGTCCGGGTTAGAGCAGCAGGTGGCTGAGTTGGTGCAGACATTGAAGCAGCCTAACAGTCTCCTTCCGGGCCGAGGTGTAGCTACGCCTCCAGTAGCTCAGTGTCAGTGGTGTGAGAGCCCGAATCACCTGGTGGAGGATTGTCAGTCTATGAGGGAGTCCTCTACTGCCCAAGAGCAGGTGGACTTCATTGCCAATGCTCGGCGCCTAGACCCATACAGCAATACCTACAATGAGGGATGACGCCAGCAGGTGGTTTTACGCAGAGGCAGCCATTCCAGCAGCCCCAGCGCCAGTTTGCTCAGCCTCCAGCAGCCGCAGCTCCATATACTCAGATGGCTGATCTGAAGAACATTTTGCAGGCTTACATGACCACTAGTCAGGCGAATGTCACGAGGATGGATCAGAACATAGCCTCACTGGAGGCAGGCCAGAGAAACCAAGGTGCCATTCTGCAGGATCTACAGAATCAGATTGGGAGCTTAGCTCGCCAGAACACTACCAGGGCACCGGGGACTCTGCCTGCCACCACTGTTCCTAATCCTCGTGACCCTCTCCAGCAGCTGGACGCCATCACCACCAGGAGTGGCAAGACCACATCTGCTGCTCCTGCCCAGCCCAGGCGCGACGACCCACTACCTGCTTCAACACCTCTAGCTGATACTGCAGAAGTGGGGGAAGGCAGCGCAGCACCTGCTCCCAAGCCGCAACCTGTGGTTAAGGAGCATACACCCCAGCTGCCCTTCCCCACTCGACTTCATAAAGACAAGCTGGAGACAGAGTTTGCCAAGTTCATGGCAATGTTGAAGCAGGTCAACTTCAGCATGCCGTTCGTGGAGGCACTGTCGAAGATGCCCAAGTATGCCAAGTTTATGAAAGACCTCCTCACCAACAAGAAGAAACTTGGGGATCTTTCGACAGTGATGCTTAGCGAGGAGTGTTCTGCTATCCTGCAGAACAAGCTGCCCGAGAAGCGCAAAGACCCAGGGAGTTTCACTATCCCTCTTGTTATTGGCAGCATGCATGTAGGAAAGTCCTTGGCGGACCTAGGCGCTAGCATAAATGTCATGCCCTATAAATTATTTAAGAAGCTAGACCTAGGTGAACCTAGAGCTACTAGGATGAGCATTCAGTTAGCTGATCGTTCTATCGTGCATCCTAGGGGTATCATTGAGGACTTGCTTGTTAATGTAGGTGCATTCACATATCCTGTTGATTTTGTTATTTTGGATATAAATGAGGATGTGGATATGCCTTTGATTTTGGGTAGACCATTTCTCGCCACCGCCAAGGCGCTTTTCTGTGTCTGACAATGGGAAACATTCTCATTTGCATGATGACATAGACTACTGTGATGTGCTTACCGATTTTGAGACCGCACTCGCCATCACGAGTGCGGGTACTGATGATGCTCTTGAGCGTTGTATTTTGCTAGGTGAGCAGGCATCGCAGGAGCCGCAGCTGGCGGAGCAGTTGGCCGCATTGGAGAGTGGCCCCTTCTTGGAGGGCGACAGGCTGTTTAAACCGATCTCATCCTCCACTCGCATCACCACCTCCTTGGAGGAACCACCAGAGCTGGAGCTTAAGCCCCTCCCTCCTCATTTGGAGTATGCATTTCTCCGGAGGGGAATAAGCTGCCAGTCATCATCAGCTCGACCCTCACACCCGAGCAGAAGACCAGACTGGTGGCCTTGCTGAAGCAGTACGAGCGAGCTTTAGCATGGAAGATCACAGATATCCGGGGGATCAGCCCCTCCTTTTGCTCCC